GAGACGGTGACTTGCGCCCAGTATTTCTGTCCACTTGAGATAAAGTCACTTGCTATAATTTAACAATAGTCTCTTAATATACCACCAAGAATTCAAGCATGTGAGACTGCATGAATAATGAGAGCTCCTGGAGATGAGACAGTGGTGATGAAAAAGAAATTGCTACTAGGTATCATATTGATGAGTTAGTTAATGGTCAGCGGCTGTCTGTTTTATGTGGAGAGGTTTTTTTTCTGTGGTTTCTCAAAACAAATACATATTTCATCTTTTAAAATGAGTTATTGTGTTTCTGTTTCATAAGGAGGCTCAGTGGTTGTTAGCAGGGGGAAACAGTGGGGAAAAAGAAGATGAAGGAAGGTCAGAAAAGGTATTTAGTCATAACAGACTTTTTCAGTGAATATCCTGGTTGGTGTGACTTGTTAAATTTAAAAAGAATCCCTGGTTGGTTTGGATCATAGGATTGTAACAACCTGTACTTCATACCAAAGGAAATGTACACATAGCTCACCTTGCTCTGAAGCAACAAACTGAATAACAAAATGAACTTGTGTTCTTGAGATTGAAGATTCAGGGTTTCATCCCTATATGCTTGATGTCATGGAACTTTTCCTGCTCCCGTACAAATAAAAAGAAATAGACAAGTGTTTAGATGAGAGCATAATTAGTCCTAATATATACAAAATATTACTGCTTTTACACTTTCAAACTTCCCTTTAATTTCATCAGGTTTTATCAGGAATTATATTGGCCTTTTGTGTATTTAAAGTTTATATTTTCTTTTATGTTCTTCACTATAATTGTCATTGCAAACATGAGCTAAAATGTCCCTCCTGAGGGAGAAATAACCATCCCAAGTTCCTAATCTCTCTTAATATTCTGCTTTCTTATTCTTTATAATTCTCCCTAAAAGATTTGATTCAATTCTTATTGAAGTCACTGGAATGTTTTCTGTTGATTTTAATGGGTGTTGTATAAAGCTACTTAATAGTTTATTGTTGTGACCTCTTTCACCTCAGTCAGTAGTCACTGCTCACTACGTGGTTTTGATGAGTGAGGTAGCTGCAAGCATAGAAAGGTGCTTTTTTAGATGTACTTGCATATAGTTGCAAGCACAGCATCTCTTAAAACCTGTTCTAACCTGTGTTTAGGGACTTTAAGGCAGTGAAGAATATAATTTAATTCCCTTTGAGATTTCTTTAAGAGGAATTGGCAGCCCATCTTGCTTTAGGAAGATATTTGGCATGACAGTATATTGACTTCAGACTTTCTTTCTCACTTCCAGTGAGACACATTTACCACTGAATGCGCAACATAATGACAATCTTTGAAGAACTAGAATGAAGTTCCCAAAAAAGATGTGTTCATTTCAAAATAAAGTAGAATTGTTTTCTGTAAAACATTTCAGTGAACATAAACCAGTTAACCCTTTTCCCTAAATGAAGTATGTACGTGTAATGAATTTGTTAAAGAGAAAAATGAAAATATTTTCTGTTTAGCTTGACAGCATGATAACATAATATTCTGCTGTATCTTGATAACATATAAGGTAATAATTTGAGTAGGTTACAAAAATGTGTGCAAAATTGCATCTATCATGCTGAAAACCTTTCTGTATAAAACACGTTTCCTTGGAATCATTGAAGCAAATCTTATTTAAATTGGCTTACATTCCAGCGCTGTCTTTTAGAGTCAAATTTAGTTAGCTAAAATGTACTCCATCTAAAAGGCAGACTCATAAATGGGTAGAGTAGTACCTTTTTTTTTTTTTTTTTTTTTTTTTCCCTGCATAGTGTCATTTTAAAAAATTAAGTTCAAAGGTAGCTATCCCAAACTGCTACTTAACTCTAGCTAGTCATAGTCATACCATATCCTCTAGGAAAGCTTCCTGGCCAGCTTTTTCTGCTTTTGGCTTAATAAGAATTACTGAACAGCAGAAATTGTTGAGAGATTCATTCCTTGTTAGCAATTATTCACATTAACGTGGCAATGTGGTAACACAAGGTTGTATCTTCCAAGTGTAATGACTTTGCCAATGCAAGGAACCATGGCCCACAGTAGCTTTTACAATTCGATTATTTTAACCTTGTAGACACTATATACATTTCTGTTTCTCTATTCCTATTGGAATTTTTTTCCAGAAACTTTTTCCTATGATGGGTAAAGACTTTCAATGTTTCTTATTCTGATTTTATTCCATAACCACTTGCTTTACTCTTTTGAAGATTTCAGCTTAAATAGCTTTTCTGTCTCTTACATTTAACTTTGTGATGTGTTTATATGAAGCAAATTTATCCCCTCTTGGCCATTCTTCTAAGAAGTTCAAAAAGCCATGCATTCTTTTAGACTTCCCTGTAAAACAGGCTGTCCAAAGCTCCGATCATACTGGTTGCTCCCCTGGAATTGTTTGAGCTAAAATGTGATTGTTCTTGAATATGAGTGACCAGAATTGTGATGGACTATTTCAGTGAAAATTTTGAAAGTATCTTATATAAATAACACAAATACTTTCTTACCTACCAAAAAAAAATATGTAAGTTGCTCCAGAAGTATTTATTTATATATTTATTTCCACAGAAACTGCAACAGATACAAAGAGTACGATAACTTTATTTGATAGAACAAATTGTTAGCTACAAAACACTCTTTTTCAACATAATCACCACCATTAGCTATTCATTTTGGTCAGCAATGAACAAGAGCCAGCATGCTGCGCTTGTGAAAATGTTCATGGCCATCCAGAACATGGTTTGCCTTTAATGCCAATGTAGCCACTGATGAAATGCACCACTCACTTCTCACTGTGCTGACATCCAATGTTTGGTCTCCATAAACGCTCAGTAAGTGACAATGAATGTCAGTGAGTGCCATTTTTTATTTGTAGAGGAGTTCACTGACACACCATTGCTTCACACATAAGCCCATGTCAGATGCCATTTTGTTAGATCTATAGGCTGCTGCCATCTGTCACATGGCAGCAAAATGTAATGGAATATTGATAAGAAGATTTTACCTCTATTGTCATACCACCAACATAATCACCACTCTGATGTCATAGGCCAACATAATGAAATAGGAGGCATTACTTTCAGAGCAGCCCTCATATTTCACATAATAACTTTCACAGATAGATTTGCCTTTCCTCTTGGTCTGATTACACGTTTGATTATTAGTCACTAAAAATTTATCTCCCTTCTCCTGTTCGCACTATTTGAAATTTCCTATTTCAAATGTTCTCCTGCATGTTGTGAATTTATTATAGCTCCTACAAGTATAACTTTGCATTTTATATTACTTAATTTCACTCAGATTCTATTTCTATAGTTCTCAGAGTGTGGCACTGAGATTCTTTGTGGTCTTTCTGAAGGATCTACCTTAATCAAGTTTCAGCAACACAATTCCAAATAAGACTATGCTGGGCCTAATTTATCATTATGTTGTTCTATTTATGAGTCACTAACTCCATGGAGTTCAACAGAGTTATGAAAGTTTAAATTTGAATTAACATATGAATCAGACCTTGCAGTCTCCTTCCCTAATGGCAGGCCATGTTTTTTTCTCTAAAAGGTAAATTATTCATGAAGTTAGAGAGTGTACGTATCTTATTTGAACAAATAATAACTAACATACTGAAATCATGAGAATTTTCATTTTTCCGGAAGTAAATTCTGTGACAGTATAATTTTCAGTTTAGATACAGGATCATTAAACTAGAGGATAACCATTGTTAGTAGTCTAGGGTTGGAACAGAGCAAGGATCCTATAAAAATATTTACAAATAGAAAAAAGACTTTCAATCAGTCTAAAGTAATTTAGTGAAAGCAAGTCAGAAACCACACAAGGCTATTCTTCTGGTTAAAGCACAACATGCAGAGAAAATTCCTAAGGAACTTGCTTTGGCAGAGAGGTTTCTTCCCATTCCTATGATTCTGTGATTCATGAAGGGATGGTTGGGCTCTGAAGGGCAGATCCCTGGAGATCCCTTCTAAGTCAGGATATTCTAAGATTCTGTGATTATGAGAATTTCCCTCTACAGTGGTGATTTTGAGATGAATAAGTTGAGTGGTAGTTCATTGCAAGAAATGACTGACCTGAAAAAATATGAAAGCAAATGCAGTTTATCAATCAAAGTTTAATGTAAAAAAAAAAAAAAGGAGGTGTAAATGGAGAGATTTGAAGCTACACCACAGTGAAGTACAGAATTTTGTCAAGATAATGATGATCATAAGCTAATGTAAATGTGAAATTTGGAAATGGGATTTTGAAGCAGCTCTCAGGAGTTGATAATATCAGGCTATTCTGACTTTTCTAAGGTGCTTCCAAGGTACTGAAGCTGCCTGCAGTACCAAGAATTCACCAGGCAGATCCAGGATGGAGGTAGGGCATAGTAGGCTCCTCATACTGTCATGAAAAAGTTGCGAGAAGGCTACCAGTATATATGAAGCAATGAAATCAGATAGAGTAGAGTACTTTTGCTGTTTGATGTCTGTATCCTTTCTCGCTTCCAATGTACAGGTTAGCTCTCAAGCCAGTGTAATATCTTAATAGCAGCAATACTTAGAACTGCTGTAATCAGACCTCCCTTTGTGTTCACTGCCCAAAACCTGACCAGCTGCAAGAGGAAATCCTCATACCAGCTGTTGCTCAGGGGTGAAATTATCTGGATTTAAGCTTGGATGTAATTTTTTAAATCAAGGAACCAGATTTTTATGTATGTCATATTCTGAATGAAAATAAGTTTTGATAGAGTTCGCATAATCTGTTAAATATCAGTCTGGGAAGTAACAAATTGTGAACAAAACCCATACAGCTTCCTTTAAAGCAAAGTAAAATACTATATAACCAACTGACAGAGCTTAATAATTGTTTTGTTTTCTGTCTGTTGAAAAGCTTCTCTTTACAAATTTAGGTAAAAAAAAGTAATGCTGTAGTTCTTTCTGGGGTTTTAAACCTTTGTTTTCATGTAGTATACCTTTTACTAATCAATAAATAGACCAGATTAGCCCAGTTTTGAGAAAACCATCTGGCCACTGTTTATCTCTGATCACATGTTCCAGAAAGGAAAAGTGCAGGTAACAAGTTGCATCAAACCAGCTGGAATAAGTATGATTGATGTAGACTGTATAATACCCAGAGTCTTGGTTTAAAACAGGAAGGACTGTGGCATTTTGCACTACATAAGACAGCTGGGCATTCTCAAAGAAGCACGGTAAGAGACCTGGTGGTCAGAAACAGTGTGAAAATCTCTGTTTCTGTTTCCCCAGAGACAAGTACTTTGAATGGAACCTATGAATATTTCTGTGATGTCTAATCAACAGCTGGACTGGTAAAGTACAGATGTACAGTACAGAAAGTTCCATATGGACTTTGAAACTCGCATTGTTCTAAATGGCACGAGAATTTCACCAGAAATGAAAAAAACAGTGAGCAGAGTCATTGCAAAGGTATTTAGACACTGTGCGGAGAAACACAAGGCAAGAGGCCATCTTACTCCCATTAGAAGATAAGCAACTGCGGTGAGACAGCTTGAATTCTTGGATGTTATGGGGGAGCCTGCTGGGGACATTGGCTGGAAAGTCTTTCTTAGAGCAGTGGTCACAGGTGGACTAATGGTGTTTAATGGTGTAGCTTGTGAGGTTTCCTAGTGCATGAACTTTATGCTGTGAATGACCCCAGCCACATATGCTACACATGTAATGTGTTTTAATCCCTCTGTAGACACCCGCAGGGACTGTGGGTGCTGTCAGAATTGCCCTGTTTAGAGTCCCCATCTGGACACATTTTCAGCTCTGAAACCCCGAAGTTCTCTCATGCTTTTCATTGATGCTCCTCATAATTAGTTCTTTTACCTCTCTTTCATTTCTTTCCAGCAGAGTTTCAAGATTTGGCTTTGTCTTGGCCAATACCGAGAAAAAAAGTGCAATAAAAGGACTCTGTTTAAATCTGCAGAAACTGAGATCCAACCCAAAGCAAGGCAGCATGAAAATAAGGTACAATTTATTTTTTCTCTAGTTTTCTTTAGATATAATACTGAGGGGAGAGAAAGAAATTGTAGCAATAAAGTACCAATTTTATTTGCAAAACTGATTTTCAGAATTACAGCGTTCTTTTAAAAAGCATACTCGAAGTCTGCAGCAGTTTCTCATGAGAGAAGAGACAACTAAGCCTCAGAATCCTATGTTAAAGTAGACCCTTCTACTCCCTTTTCTATTTTAAATATTAGAATACAGGTTTTTATCTACTAGAAAGTGTACTGATAATTCAGAGGAAGAGCTCAGGAAGCAGCCATCTTGTTTGATGTTCCCAAACAGCAGGGAAAACACCTGTGAAAATATGCAGCTGTTTGGGTGAAACACAAGGAGAGCCCTGACTACCTGCACCTGCTGTGTAGCTGGCAGCAAGAAGAAATGAGGCCAGGATTTCAATCACTTAATGATAGACAGAGTTAGGTTCAGGAACTAGGGCTTTGCTAGTGAAGGAAATGCTGGTATTCTCTGTGAGGAAGGTCACAAAATAGCTAGAGGGTAAGAAAAAGCAATAGAGGCAACATAGTAGAAATCACAGAAAGGAATCACTTCAATGTACAGGAATAAAATCACTGTAAGAAAGGTGGTTATTTTGAGTATGATCCACAGAATTTAGATTGTCTAGGTTTCATAGAAGAATGATATTAATGGGTAATTAAAACTTCTTGTGGTTTATGTTAATACAATTTCATGTTTCTGTTCCTACATTCTTCGTAACGACTGATATAAATATTACAACTCCACATTATTGACAGCAACTGTTACGGTCTCTGAGAAAGGAGATTGCATCTGAGATATCTCTCATATAGTGGAATACAGAAGTAAATACTGCCAGCTTACTCACTAGATCTCCTGTCTGCATCAATATATTTTCTCTCATTTCTTTCAGAATGATTTATTTCAGAAATAATTATTTCATAGAGATCAGATGTGACACCCTGGTCCTGTTGGCACCAGTGACAAAATGATCTCTGGCTTCAAATGATTCAAAACAAAGAATCCTAGAAGCACAAAAACAGACTTTCTGGAGCCCATACAGACCAAATGCTAGATGCTGATGGCCCCGTCTCCTATGAATTTCTCCTCTCTGGAAATCACTTTAACTTTTGGCTTTCAGAACATTATGTGGCGCTGTCTCACAATTTAATCATGCTATAATAATAGTAATTGTAGTAAGTGCCTATAATTAATTCTTATAATGTATTGTTATGTTGTTATAATTATATACATAGTTAATTGTTATTGCTAATCATTACAATTAATATCTGCAAACTATCATAGTAATTTCCTATTCATCCTCTGTGTACTATTAATGACTCAAGGATTGGAGTTACATGTATTGTTGTAACTACTCATATTTCTTCCTTATAAAATAGTTTTCCAAAACAGTATACATCCTCCTTTCTTCAGAAAGTCTTTTCCAAGCTGAAAAATCTTAGGTTTTATGTCTCTTTTTGTATATGTATAAGAGCTTCAGATCCTCAACCATTTGCGGTAGCTTTTTCCCACTTATCCTGTCTGCTACGGGATGATCAAAGCTGAATATATTTTTCAAGGAATGAACAATATTTACATACAAAATTTATTTTATGACATTGTTTTGATTTCTTTTCATTTCTTAGTTTCCTGCTAAATGTGCCATGCTTTTGATTATTTTTTACTACTGCTAACTGTAGTCAATACATTTCCATAAAACCTTCCACAATGACTATTTCTTGATATCTTTCTTGAGTCGTAGTTCATTTAGAGACCATTATGTTACGGGAACGCTTGGGATTTTCTCCCCGTGTACACTTTCTTTTTTTAAATTTAATGTTTATTTGTTTTGTCTCCTGCAATCAATTCATTCAAGATCTTCATCTACATATCTTTAGATATCTGCAAAGAATCGATTCTTTGCTGTTTTAAATTTAAATGTAATGAGTAATTTTCTGTCATCTAAAGACTATTACCTTATTCCTCATCCTTTTTTTTTTTTCCATACCCTTTATTTTATATTCATATTGGACTGTTTGCAAACCAACATAGATCTCAGCTCTGTTGGTAACTTGCTTCAAAAATCTAGTTTTTTTCTGGTCATTGAGAGGTGAAATGAGATCAGGTAGCCCACAGAATCAAATCAGAAGTCTTTTATGCAAGAGTGGGATATGGTTTTCCTCAGTTTTGTGACCAAGGTCTTTTATCTCGATACTTTTACAAATAGAAGAAAAGCAAACAACAAATTTCATTTCAGATAGGACTTTTCATATCTAACTTCTATTTTATTTTTTTTAATTTTGAAAGATAAATAGTTATCTGTATGAATTTCATTGTTTTCCACTACCAAACAGGTGTTTATCACCTGACCCTAATCTTAAAACTGTCATGATTGTTTTTTTTTTAACAGGAATTTCTTGGCAGAAATTTCATTCTTTATGTCCCTCAGAGTGAACAGCTTAATCCAGGCATTTTATCTCCATCAGTGATGGACGCGAAGTCAATTTCTGCCATAAAGATCTCTCTTTGCCTGTCCCTAATATCAGACACAGGAGTCAGGGAAGTGTTAGTCAGAAAAAAATTGGATCATCAATTCTCTGATGTTCTTTCCCAACTAGGTCTGGTTTTGAGAATCAGAAAAACAACTTCTTTTTGACTCAAAATGCTTGGTACTCTGGTTCACTGGAAAAAACAAGGATGATAAGATTTCTAGGAGTTTCAGTGAAATTAGCTTGGAAATATAATGGTGGAAGGAAAGTATGATTTCATAACAAAGCTTCATATACTGACAAAGTATCTGCATTAAAATATTCCTTTTTCAAATGCTTCCTTTTCCATAAGTTTTCATGTTGAAATAAATTTAGAGGAACAGATGTCTTTTGTTTGATGAAGAATGTGAAGCATTCATTTCTGAAGCACTTCAGTGAAAACGTGGCATTATTCTGTGGCTTTGAAAAATGTATACAAAAACCTTTTTATACTGGTGCCCAGCTTTAGAAAAGTCTGGAAAAGTTGTATGCCTAATTTCATTAATTCTAGTTCTGTTTTTTTTTTTTTTGTTTTGTTTTTTGTTTTTTTTTGTTTTGTTTTGTTTTCTATATGGAATAAGAACAAACCTTGCTCACTTATTTAAAAATCGATATCACATAGTGAACAAATTGCTTTTATGTCTTACTTTATGGTGTTACGGCTTACACTGTATTATTGTAGTTAATGCAGAAATGTTAGCACTGTTTAAATCAAAAGTGAGCATGAGTTGTTTACAGACAGCAAGCTCAGCAAACAAAAGTAGCATTATGGAAAAGAAAAACACATTAATAAAGTACTTTGTCACCTGATCATTCTATGCAGTTTATTCAAAACTGAATTTAAAGCTTTGGCTAGTAGGTGGACAATATTTTTTTCCATACTTCATTTTAAATAATGTGTATTCTGCTTTTCTTATTTAAAAGCTGTTATCTGTTAATACCATTAGAATCAGTGATGATGGCTGATTTTCATTATAAACAATACTATCTAATACTATCTACTCAAGATTACTGTGGTTTGCAGAATTGTTCTTTATTATTCCAAGTCAGTGATCACTTAATGTTTTGCAGGCTTTACACAAGTAATGACTAGCAGAGTCTAGCTCTGTAAATGTGACATATAAATACCTAGACATGTTTATATTATATTCCGTGAATAAATCTTATAGAATTAGATTACACTGCAATTAAATGGTAGCCTGTAGATGTAAACGCTCCAGCGCTATGTAGTATTTAGTGAACCCGGGCCATCGCTGATCCTTGCTTGCTGTGAGATGGATGGGATGTAATGAAACATAGTGACCTTTTTCTGTGTGTTGGCTGCACCTATTCTTATCTTGTGACGTGTAGATTCAATCCCCTCAGGGGCTGCTTTATTTGGCATGCTGAGATCTGACTGGAAATAAAGATGCAAAGGCTTTTCTTTCACTGTAGCATCCATCTAGGACATATATTTTAGGCCTTGATTATCAAGGAGACCTTGATTTAGGTCTAGTATTATTTAACTTTTTCTCTCAGAGAGTGGTCAGGCACTGGAATGGCCTGCCAAGGGAGGTGGTGGAGTCACCGTCCCTGGCAGTGTTCAAGAGGCGTCTGGATGAGGAGCTGCATGATATGGTTTAGTAGCTTGTGGTAGAAATGGTAATGAGAAGACGGTTGGACTAGATGATCTCATAGGTCATTTCCAACCTTGTGATTCTATGATTCCATGATTCTATGAACTTATTTGTCAGTGACTGGGATGGAGGAATGGAGTGCCTCCTCAGCAAGTTTTCTGATGGCACAAAACTAGGAGGAGTAGCTGATATCCAGAGTAATGTGCTGCCTTTCAGAAGGATCGTGACAGGCTGCAGAGGTGGCCAGAGAGGAACCCATTGAAATTAAACAAGGGTGAGTGTAGGGTCCTGGACCTGAGAAGGAATCACACCAGGGACCAAGCTGGGAGAGCTGACCTGCTGGAAAAGAGATCTCCAGTGAAGGTTCTAGTGGACAACAAGTTAACCATGGGCCTTTAATATGCCCCCATGGCCAAGAAAACCACTGTCATTCTGGGCTGCATTAGGCAGAGCGCTGCTCCATTCCATCTGGATATGAGGAAAAGCTCTACTGTGAGAGTAACTGAACTTTGGAACAGGTTGCCCAGAGTGATTGTGGAGTCTCCTTCCCCGCAGATATGCAAAAGCTGCCTGGACACAATCCTAGGTAATCTGCTTGAGAGACACTGGTTGAGCATGGAGTTTGGACCAGGTGATCTCCAGAGATCCCTTCCAACCCAAGTCATCCTCTTCCAAAAGCCCACATTCTCATTAGGTGGAGGACATTTTTCCTCTCCCATTAATGTTGCTCAGCAGTGAGCTCCAGTTCTCCCATTCTCTGTCCATAGCCCAGTCTTGGCACGGGGATTGCTGTATGTGTAAAATGATCACTGCACTTACAAAGCATGCTGCAGAGTAGAGCAAT